CTTAAGTGCAGGAGCAAAACCGAGCCCATTACGAACATCAGACAAACCATCGCACTCCCACAGGGCGTGGAAGTCGCTGTGCGTGTTTATAGTTTGACGCCGCCCAACCATACGTACCTTTGCTAGATCTCACACCGTGACCAGGCCGAGCCACGCAACCCGGAATAGGTATCGCGCGAGGTCCTCGTCCATGAACAGCCGCACCAGGGCCCCGATGAACGAGCTGGGGAGGCGTGGTGCCTTCAACGTCGGGCCCTTCCCCGCACCGAGGAGCATCTCCACGTTCGCGACGACCTGCTGGGTCTCGGGTCGAGCTGAAGTTGCAGTTCTGGTCCACGCCTGCCACGCGCCCTGTCCACAACATGGCGCGCACGGTTTGGTTGGGCACCGTCGCCCCGCGCTTTTCGGCGGCCCTGGCACGCGCGAAGTAGATGAAATGCACGACGGTCGCGGGCCACGCGGCCCGAGCGTGCGCAAGAGCCACCTGTGCGCATCGTCTCCACGGCCTGCGCGTACGACTTCACAGTGTTGGTGCGCGTGCGGCCCGTGATGCTGTCCTCCGCCTGCTCCGGGTCCAAGCAGGACTGCGCCGTTTCAAGCGAGGGCGCCCCCATCTCCTCGAGCAGCACGATCAGGCGAGGCTTCCACCCAGCCCACTCCTGCGCCTCCAACGGCTCTCCTCTGCAGCCGCGCGGCACCTTCGAGCGAAGCGGGCCCACGCCATCGCACGGGCCCCCTTCGGCGGCGGGGCCTCGGGAGCTCCACAGCTGGCCGCCACCCTAAGGCACGCCCCGGCGTCCTTCAGCATGGCCCCATTCAGGACAGCCGTGGAACGCCCTCGGACGCTTCTGCGCTGGCTTCTCAACTACTGGCAGGCGCACGATTTCCCCACGTGGCCACGGTGCCTCCTACACGCTGAGGTCCCCAGCCGCCACCACCTGCATGAGCGTTCCGTCGAACTCGGTCTCGTCCGCCTGAAGCGCCAGGCGCGGGCCGAGGAGATCGCACTCATGAGGCACCTTGCGGACCTGCCAGGTCGCACGGCCCAAGGGCCAGCACCTGCGCCCAATGTTCAACATCGAACGAACGCCTGAGCCCAAATGGCCACTAACATCGAAATGAGTGAGTATACACTTCCGTGTTGGTACACGGGGGCCAAGTTGCCGAAGCAAGCGCGCATGTCATCTTCCAAGGGGACCGCGGTACGCTCCTCAAGGATCCTGGAGTGAACGGGGAGACGGCGAATTCGAAATTAGCCTGACGCAGGACCCAACCATTTGCAAGTGTGAGTACCGCAGTTGTGATTCACTTTTTCGGTGGTGATCCCTATGAGGCAACGAACCGTGCCAGGGGTGTGCGGAAATGAGCGGCGTGGTACACAGCGCGGAAGGAAACGAACAACACAATGCGGACTGCGCCACGGGGACCTTCGGTGGGGCTCCATATGGGGCCACGAAACGCTGTACTGGGTGAGGCGGGCGCATGCGGACTGCGCCACCGGACCTTCGGTGGAGTTCCCTATGGGGCCACGAAACGTGTGAGTGGTGAGCCGAAATGAATGGCGGGGACGCATGCCGACTGTGCCACTGGAACCTTCGGCAGAGCTCCTACGGGGCCACGAAACGTGTGAGGGGTGTGCCGGCATGAGTGGCGGGGACGCATGCGAACTGTGCCACTGGGACCTTCGGCGGAGCTCCTACGGCGCCACGAAACGTGTGAGGGGTGTGCCGGCATGAGTGGCGGGGACGCATGCGAACTGTGCCACTGTGAAGGGTGTGCCGAAATGAATGGTGGGGACGCATGCGAACTGTGCCACTGGGACCTTCGGCGGAGCTCCTATGGGGACACGAAACGTGCGAGTGGTGTGCCGAAATTAATGGTGGGGGCGCATGCGAACTGTGCCACTGGGCCCTTCGGCGGAGCTCCTATGGGGCCACGAAGCGTTTGAGGGGTGTGCCGAAATCATTGGCGGGACGCATGCGAACTGTGCCACTGGGACCTTCGGCGTGGCGCCTATGGGGCCACGAAACGTGTGAGGGGTGTGCCGAAACGAATGGCGGGGACGCATGCGAACTGTGGCATTGGAACATTCGGCGGGGCTCCTATGGGGCCACGAAGCGTGTGAGGGGTGTGCACAATTGAATGCCGGGGACGCACGCGAACTGTGCCACTGGGACCTTCGGCGGAGCTCCTATGGGGCCACGAAACGTGTGAGGGTGTGCCGAAATGAGTGGCGGGGACGCATGCGAACTGTGCCACTGGGACCTTCGGCGGAGGTCCTATGGGGCCACGAAACGTGTGAGGAGTGTGCGGACACGAATGGCGGGCACGCATGCGAACTGTGCCACTGGGACCTTCGGCGGAGCTCCTACGGCGCCACGAAACGTGTGAGGGGTGTGCCGAAATGAATGGTGGGACCGCGTGCGAACTGTGCCACTGGGACCTTCCGCGGAGCTCCTATGGGGCCACGAAAAGTGTCAGGGGTGTGCGGAAACGAATGGCGGGGACGCGTGCGAACTGTGCCACTGGGACCTTCGGCGGAGCTCCTATGGGGCCACGAAGCGTGTGAGAGGTGTGCAAAAATGAATGTCGGGGACGCATGCGAACTGTGCCACTGGGACCTCCGGCGGAGCTCTTATGGGGCCACGAAGCGTGTGAGGGGTGTGCCGAAATGACTGGCGCGGACGCAAGCAAACTGTGCCACTGGGCCCTTCGGCGGAGCGCCTGTGGGGCCACGAAACGTGTGAGGGGTGTGCCGACATGGGCGGCGGGGGCGCATGCGAACTGTGCCACTGGGACCTTCGGCGGAACTCCTATGGGGCCACGAAACGTGTGACGGGTGTGCCGAAATGAATGGCGGGGACGCATGCGAACTGCGCCACTGGGACCTTCGGCGGAGCGCCTATGGGGCCACGAAACGTGTGAGGGGTGTGCCGAAATGAATGGCGGGGGACCTTCGGCGGAGCTCCTACGGGGCCACGAAACGTTTGAGGGGTGCCCCGAAATCAATAGCGTGGACGCATGCGAACTGTGCCACTGGGACCTTCGGCGGAGCTCCTATGGGGCCACGAAGCGTGTGAGGGGTGCACACAATTGAATGCCGGGGACGCATGCGAACTGTGCCACTGGGACCTTCGGCGGAGCTCCTATGGGGCCACGAAACGTGTGAGGGGTGTGCCGAAATGAGTGGCGGGGACGCATGCGAACTGTGCCACTGGGACCTTCGGCGGAGCTCCCATGGGGCCGCGAAACGTGTGAGGCGTGTGCGGCAATGAGTGGCGGGGACGCATGCGAACTGTGCCTCTGGGACCTTCGGCGGAGCTCCCATGGGGCCACGAAACGTGTGACGACGATGATGATGACGATGATGATGCTGATGCTGATGCTGATGCTGATGCTGATGCTGATGCTGATGATGATGATGATGATGATGATGATGATGATGATGATGATGATGAAGGTAATGCTGATGCTGATGATTACGAGGATGATGAGAGGACGGGAGGAGGGAGGAGCAGGATGAGGAGACGCGGGGACCGTCTCTTCAACTCGAGGACCCAACAACACAGGTTGGTTGGGGAAAAAGAAGGAGCGACAGCGGCAGGGGCGCCAAGCACCACCGCACCCGCGGCATCGGCCGCTCACGTCTTCAGCTGTGCGCCTCCGCTCCTTCGGGCCTCTCTTGGTGCCGACCACCCTTTCAGCCTTTGCAGCGCGCCGAGGAAATGGCGCACAACAGAACTTACATTTGCGGCGGGGGTTGGAGGTGTGCAGCCAAGAGACTGCGCCTGCCTCGCGGCACGCAGGGCAGACTGGGCAGGGCATCCGAGCGGGCCTGCACGATGGCACCTGCTGGCCCGAAACAGTCTGAGCCAGCTCCTCGGCTCGAGCCAGAATGGCTTGAACCAGCATGGCCACTGAAGGAAAGGAAGCAGAGAAAGGAGAGGGACGTGGAGGAGGTGGAGGAGCAGAAGGAGGAGGAGCAGGAGGAGGAGGAGGAGCAGGAGGCGGAGCAGGAGGAGGAGGAGGAGGAGGAGGAGCAGGAGAAGGAGGAGCAGGAGGAGAAGGTGGAAGAGGAAGTGGAGGAGAAGAAGCACGAGGAGAAGGGGGAGGATGCGGGGGTGGAAGGAGCCCCCCTCGCAAGGGGCCCTTCCATCCCAACCGCGTCCTGACGCCTCCCGATCCTCCTCCTCCTCCTCCTCCTCCTCCTTCTCCTCCTCCTCCTCCTCCTCCTCCTCCTCCTCCTCCTCATCCTCCCCCTCCTGCTTCTCCTCATCCTGTCCCTCCCTCTCCTTCTCATCCGTATCCTCCAGTTTCTCTCGGAGCCAGGACGACTTGAGATAACGGCAGCTCAAACTCGATCTCTGGTCACCTCCCGAGGTCCGAACGCACCAGATTACCGAGCTACGTCCAGCAGTGGCGACGAGGGGGGGGCCCGAAGGCTAATGAATTACTGTTGTCTCAACTTGCACTCCTCTGATTCTCCTCCTCTTTTCTCCTCTTCCCTTCGCGAGACGAAAGGAGTGCCGACCGATGCAGCTACTCCCGGGAGCCCTCTCGGCGTGCCTTTTGACCAGAGCTCTGGAAGAGAATCCGGCCGTGGCGACGAGGGCCTCCCAGGAGGCCCGAACAAAGGCGAGAACGAGGTGGTAAGGGTTGTGGTATCGGAACCGCGTCCTCTTCTCGTCCCTCTTCTCCTCCTCGCCTCAGGTCGGGCATGTCCTCGTACAGGCGCATTTCGGAGGACAGCTACAGCCCAGTCGCAGGATGCTCAAACATAGCAACAAAACAACAGAAACCTCGTCCCCAGACTATGTTTTGACTATGTTTGGGCATCGTTTATCCGAACCCTATCCCCATCTAGGTGGCCTTTTCTCCACTTGGGGATTTACCCCCCGAGATGGGGATATAGGCCGTCTCCCTCGGGTTTTGGAGGGTATATCCCCAAGTCGGGGGCGGCGGGAGGGGGTGGGCTGGTGGGAGGCTTCATGGGGTTGGGGTTAGGTTAACCGATAATGAATGTTTGAACATTCCTCCTGTAGAGGAACATGCCCGATTTGACTCCGCCCCGACTCGCGGCTCGCCAGCATCAGCGACAGGTAGAAGCCCGACCACAGCAGCGCCTCGGGCGCCCGGTCCAGGCAGCGCTCCGCACGCCGCCAGCGGCGAGGGCACCGAGGGGCCTCCGCAGCAGCCGTCGTCAGCGGCGTCGTCGTCGGAATCGGTGCGCGGGCTCCGACCCTTTCTCCTCCTCCTCCTCCCTCCTCCTCCTCCCCCTCCTCTCCTCCTCCTCCTCCTCCTCCTCCTCCTCCTCCTCCTCCTCCTCCTCCTCCTCCTCCTCCTCCTCCTCCTCCTCCTCCTCCTCCTCCTCCTCTTTCGATGTTCCTCCCCCCCGCTCCTGGGCTCTGCGCTCCTCTTCGCTCCTCTCGCTTCTCCTTCCTCGTCCTCTCTTGTCTGTCTTCGTCGTCATCCTCCTGCTACGGTCGAAGTCCATGGTGAGCATGCGCTGCTTCATCAAGGTTACCCTCGCATCCCTGTTTTTTGGCCCATCGTCAGCCAAGGTTGGCGTCCACGGAGCACGAATTGGTAAATGGGACCTCCAAGTGCGTCCTTACCCACCTTCGTCCTCCCTTCTTACTGTGCATCCTCATCACAGGTTTTGACTGCCCCTCGTCCTCCCCTCTGCTGCCTTAGCGAAGCCTCTCCCGTAGGAGTCCGCCACCGTGCCGCCGCTGGACACTCCGCGGCGTATCCTGGGGCCCTGCGCGTTGAATCTTGCAAGCGCTCTTTACGTAGCGTTAGGTCGGGCCTGTCCCCCTACAGGGGGATTTTGGACGAAGAGTTTCAAATAGCCCAAACATATTCCAAAGTACTTCACAAATGCGCCCCAGCCTAGTCTTTTACTATCTCTGCATATTCCTCCTGTAGAGGGACCGGCCCGACTCAAACGTAGCACCCCGCCATTGCGGATGAGAGTGAGGGGGCGGGCGCGACGTGGGCCGCGGGTGGATCGCAGGGAAGGAATGTCGCTAGGTGGGTCGCAGGGATCGCGGGGGAGTCGCAGAGAAGGACGATGACAACAATAACAAACGAATTATAGCAACAACAAGTATCCAGGTCGAAGGAGGAGGAGCAGCGCTGGGGCCTCACCCGCGTCGAACCGCAGGGTGTCGCCCTGCGTCAAGTTGAGCATCGCCATCAGCAGCCTGCTGCGCCCCCTCTCGCCATCACTCTCCCGCTCCTTTACCTCCCCCTCCCCCTCATCCACGGTAGGCGCGAGCCGCTTCCCGTCCAGGCGCGGGCTGCTCGCTGTTTCTCCCAGCGGCACGATCTGGCGGCTGAGGGTTTCAGGGGCGGGACTGTTCGGAGCTCGCGCGCGGCCGAAGCCGGCGAGCCCCTGGGGCCCGCTCCGAACCACCACGGGGCACGACAGGACGGGCCAGAAGTCTCAAGAGGATTGGACCACGAGGCCTGCAGTCACGGCGCAGGTGGCCTGTGGAACGAGATGTGCGGTGCGTCTGGCGGGGCTCTTGGCTGGAGCGGCGGCTCTGGCTCAGATGTCAAACGCCCCAGGCCCTGCCCGAACCTGTCCACTCAGGCTGGCCGCGAGAGGAGGACCGTCTCCTCGTGCGACGGGGCGCCCGCCCCAAAGGCAAGTGCCCCCATCCCTGTCATGAATTTTGGATCCGTCCCCTGGGCCTTCGAATCGCGTCCCCCCCCCCTTCCCCCCGAGCGTTCTCTCCCCCCTCCCGAAGAGTGGGGGGAACGAGGGAGAAGGAGGCGGAGGAGGGGGAGGAGGAGGAGAAAGAAGAGGACGATCATACGTTCGGAAGAAGAAAGGGATCGGAGGATAAGGTGGAGGAGAAGAGGGAGGAGGTGGAGGAGGAGGAGGAAATGGAGGAGGAGATGGAGGAGGAGGAGGAGGAGGAGGAGGTGGAGGAGGAGGAGGAGGAGGAGGAGATGGAGAAGGAGGTGGAGGAGGAGGAGGTGGAGGAGGAGGAGGAGGAGGGAAAAGAGGAAGCGGAGGAGGCGGCGACCCGCGTGCGGCCTCCAGCCAGGCGCCAGGCGAAAACCCGACGCACCCATCCGATCGGTTGAGAATGCAAGCACGAGCCCCGCCATGCTATGCAAATCTGGGCTGGCGATATGCCACATTCCCATGGCCGATATTAGCATGATTCTCCTTGTGGATGATCGTGCCCATCCGATGAGTTAAGAATGCAAGTACGAGCCCCAGATCTTGGTTGGCGATTTGCCACATTCCCATGGCCAACCTGATCATTATTATTATTCTCCTCGCGGGTGATCATGCCCCCTCTCCTCGCCATGACAAAAGGCAAGTAAGAGCCCCACTGTGCAGATCAGGGCTGGCGATTTGTCACATTCCCATGGCCGAAATGATCATTATGATTCTTCTTGCGGGTGATCATGCCCCCTCTCCTCGCCATGGCAAAAGACAAGGAAAAGCCCCACGGTGCAAATCTGGTCTGGCGATTCGTCACATTCTCATGGCCGAAATGATCATTATGATTCTCCCCGCGGGTGATCATGCCCCCTCTCCTCGCCATGACAAAAGGCAAGTAAGAGACCCACTGCGCAGATCTAGGCTGGCGATTTGTCACACTCCCATGGCCGAAATGATCATTATGATTCTCCTTGCGGGTGATCATGCACCCTCTCCTCGCCCTGGCAAAAGGCAAGTATGAGCCCCACTGTGCAGACCTGGGCTGGCGATTCGCCACATTCTCATGGCCGAAATGATCATTATGATTCCCCCTGCGAGTGATCATGCCCCCTCTCCTCGCCATGACACATGGAAAGTGAGAGCCCCACTGTGCAGATCTGGGCTGGCGATTTGTTACACTCCCATGGCCGAAATGCTCATTATGATTCTCCTTGCGGGTGTTCATGCCCCCTCTCCTCGCCATGGCAAAAGGCAAGTAAGAGCCCCACTGTGCAGATCTGGGCTGGCGTTTTGTCAAATTCCCATGGCCGAAATGATCATTATGATTCCCCCTGCGGGTGATCGCGCCCCCTCTCCTCGCCATGACAAAAGGCAAGTAAGAGCCCCACTGTGCAGATCTGGGCTGGCGATTCGTCACATGCCCATGGCCGAAATGAAAATCACGATCCCCCGTGCGGGTGATCATGCCCCCTCTCCTCGCCATGACAAAAGGCAAGTAAGAGCCCCACTGCGCAGATCTGGGCTGGCGATTTGTCACATTCCCACGGCCGAAATGATCATTATGATTCTCCTTGCGGGTGATCACGCCCCCCCCCCCCCTCGCCATGGCAAGTGGCAAGTAAGAGCCCCGCTGTGCAGATCTGGGCCGGCGATTCGTCACATTCCCATGGCCGAGATGATCATTCTAATTCTCCTTGCGGGTGATCATGCCCCCTCTCCTCGCCATGACAAAAGGCAAGTAAGAGCCCCGCTGTGCAGATCTGGGCTGGCGATTCGTCACATGCCCATGGCCGAAATGATCATTATGATTCTCCTTGCGGGTGATCATGCCCCCTCTCCTCGCCCTGGCAAAAGGCAAGTAAGAGCCCCACTGTGCAGATCTGGGCTGGCGATGTGTCACACTCCCATGGCCGAAATGATCAGTGTGATTCTCCTTGCGGGTGATCGCGCCCCCTCTCCTCGCCAGGGCAAAAGGCAAGCAAGAGCCCCGCTGTGCAGCTGTGGGCTGGCGATTTGTCTCATGGCCAATCTGCGCATGATTCTCCTTGCGGGTGATCGCGCCCCCTCTCCTCGCCATTGCAAAAGGGGCCCGACGCGGGCCCAGCCGCAGGGCCTGCGGGGGTCGACCCGCGGGAGGGCTGGGCCAAGGAGAAACGAGCGCTAGCCAGGTGGCCGACCCTGGAAAGCCCCGAGCGCATGATTTCGACGCATCGCATGTGCAGTCGGGGTGGATGGGAGAGGATACGCGAGAGGACACAAGAAGACTCTTCCGATGGCCACTCTGCCGAGAGGGCATGGGTCGCAAGGCACAGGACACAAGGGTACCCTTGTTTGGGCAGGGTCGACCCACCGATCAAGCTCGAATGTCCGCACGCCGCCTTGAGCTCGTCTCTCGCCAGCTTCCCCTGGCGGACCCGCCGCTGTTGTGCTTGCGCTGGTTGTGCGTTCGCTGTGTGGGTGTGGTGCGCCTGCCTTCCTCCCGGCGCCCGCCCGCGGGCGCCTCGTGCTGGGTGGGGTTCGGAGTTTCGCCCGTGCGCGCCTGGCGCCCCCCCCGCGGGCGCCCTCGGCAGGGCGCGGCGCAATGTGCACCACGCAGGCTGCACCAGTAAAGCACTACTTGCATAGCTTGCACCACGCGAGGTGCACCGCGTAGCTTGCAGCACACAGCTTGCACGGCGTGGCTTCCCCCAGATAGAATGCACCTGGTAGGTAGAGCGATATGCGAATATATACACCTACAGTACAACGTCGCTTAGATCACGTAGCTGGCGCAACCTAGTTTCACCTCGTAGCTTGCTCCGCATGGCATGCACCGCATAGGTTGCGCCAAATGACGTGCACTGTGTAGCTTGCTCTGCGCCGCGTAACTGACACCTAATAGGTAACGCAACGCAGCGATAAAACTTCCTCACATACCTTGCGCCGCGTAGCTCACCCCACTTTCACCTGATATTTTGGATCGCGTAGTTTGCACAAGAGTTCTTACAAGCGCGAGGAAGCCCAGCGGCACAGGTGGGGGGGAGAGAGGGGGGCGAAACGAAGTCGGAGCAGCTCAGCCAGGAGCTGCCGGCATTGGCCTCATTTCAGCGGCCCAGCCAACGAAGCCAGCCGCCGACGCAGCGCGGAGCGCCAATCCGCCTCGCCCCCCCCTGGCCCTCTTCGCAAGGACTGGCGGAACTGGCAGCGAAGTGGCCCAGCCAGGGCAGGGGCGGGCCGCTGGGCCGTCGGAGCCTGCCACCTCGGGGCCGCCGCGCCGCGCCCGAGGCGGGCGACCCAGCCGGGGCCCTGCGAAGCCACTGGCGGCGCCCAGGCGCCAGCCCGAAAAGGCCCGACCTCGGCGGCGCCGCGCTGCGGCAAGCCTTGTCTCGCACAGCCGCGGCCGAGGAGCGCGCTGCGGGGGGGGGGGGGGGGGGGCGGCTGCCCGGCCGGCGCGCCGGCCGCCGCACGATCGTTCTATATTGGACGGGCAGCCTTAAACTTTCTACGAAATTCTTAAATTCTTCAATCTGAAATGTTATTCTGCGTTTGTCCGCAATGCCAACGTTTCTTACGTTTTTCATACAGCGTTGCTGTTGCGCTTCATTCCGCTCACGCGCCAAAGGCCCCGTGAGGGCTGGCGACCCACTTGCGCCCCGATGGCCCCGCGACGCGGGTCGGCGGCCAACTCGGGCCCGACTGGCCCCGCTCGGACCAGCCGCCCACGCGCGCCCCAGTGGCCGGCACCGCGTGGGTCGGCGGCCAACTTGCGCCCCGATGGCCCCGCGACGTGGGTCGGCGGCGCACTCGGCCAACAGCGTGGCCCCTGGCGGTCATGGCCCCGCGTGAATCAGGGGGCCATAACAAAATCGCACCCCCCCAGTGGCCCCAATTATTGCTCCATGGCCCAACAGGGGCCGGCGACCCACTCATGCACCAATGGTCCCACGGGTCGGCGGCCCACTCGCACCCGAGTGGCCCCGCGTGGGCCGGAGGCCGCCCCCAAAAAGATATTGGCCCCGATGGCCCCGATGGCCCTGCACGGGTCGGCGCCGCGCAGGCTGGCGGCCCACTCATGCCCCAATGGCCCCGCGGGTCGGCGGCCCGCTCACACCCAGATGGCCCCGCGTGGGCCAGAGGCCCACAAACAAAAAAAGTAAGCCCCGATGGCCCCGCATGGGTCGGCGGCCCACTTACGCCTCAGTGACCCCGCACGAATAGCGGGTCAACTCGCGGCCCGATGGCCACAAGTGGGCCCCGCGGACGACGACAACGATGACGATGACGACGACGACGACGTGTTTCGACGGCGCCGCGGAGGGCGAGGCTCGCCCCCCCGCGCCCGAGCAGCGCGCGCGGCAGCTCCGCGCGCGCCGCTCGGAGCGGCCGCGGCGCACCTCGGTGGACACGGGGCCGCGGCGCCGCATGCCGCGGGGGGGTCTTAGAAGTTGATTCCCGAACCACCCGCCGCGGGGCGCCCTTCTCCTCGCCCGCCGCCGCGCACGGCCTCCCCATGGAACCCGCCCCCGTCGCGGCGGCCCTGGCGAGGTCCGCGACGGCGCCATCCTTCGCTTCGCCTCCGTCGCCGGCCTCCTGGACCCTGCGCTGGATCAGCCTCCGCTTCTGGTTGACGACGCCCTACGTCCCCATGCCCTTCAGCTGTCTCCCAGCCTCCTGCCCGGCGGAATCGATGATGTCCAGCACCTCCTTGCTTGCCTCGCCCCCGTCCTCGCCGCCGCTGCTCACTTGCGGCGCCCGCCCGAAGCCGACGCTGAACTGCGTCAGCCCGACTTCCAGCTGCTGGTCCGCTGCGTGCCGAGCCTCGGCATCCTCGCCCGTGTCCCTCTCGAGCTACTGCAGGTGGCATCGCGTCTTGGCGGCCTTTCCTACCGCCCCGCCGCTTGGAAGGCCTCGCCCTTGGCCACCAGGCCCGCGGCCTCCTCCGCGCCCTTCGCGCCCAAGGCGGGCACGGGCTCCGCCTGCAGGGACGCCCCCAGGGCGCTGGCCTGCCCGGCGGCCTCGTGCTCGGCGACGCGGATCGCCTCGGCGAGCAGCACCTCGTCCGACACCTCGTCCTGCTTACAGTCAACCCGCATAGTAAGGATGCGCGATAAGGATGCAAGGGCCTTGGACGCCCATTTCGAAGCGTTTCGAACGGGGCGCGGCCAACGCAACTGTCCAAGGATGGGCCCAGGAGGCAAGGATGCAAGGGTACCCTCGGGAGGGATGCCCGTCCTCACTCTGCGGGTCGACTGCATTCTCTTGCCCCCCTTGCCCTTCTTCCCTTTCAGGGCAGGGGCCGGGCCGCCGCCAGCGGCGGCGAGGGGCCGCCGCCAGCGGCGGCGAAGGCGCCGCCCGCGCCCGGCGCGCCGCCGCAGCCTCCCGACGCACCAGCCAGCCGCGCCAGCACCGCTGCACCACTCCAGGCACGGCGGCTCGCGCAGCGTCCGCCCGCCGCCCCGCCGCGGCCAAGGCCCAAGCCTCCGCCAACCACAGCCGCGAGCTCCCGCGCTGCTTCCCAGCGAGCCGCCCGCTTGGCCTTGCCCTGCTCGAGCTCCCTCTCGGCGCTCTTGGTCGAGGGGGCACAGGGCCCGCTCCAGCTGCTCCGGCACCTGGCTCTTGGCCACCGCGCTGCCCTCCTTCCTGTTGCGCTTGCCTCCCCCGGCCCCCGGCGGCTGCCCCGCGCCCCCGCGCCGCGCACCAGTGACGCCGCCCGCGCTGGGCCCGACCGCCTCCCGCGCGTCCACCGCGATGGCCTTCTCCGGCATCTCCGGTTTCTCGTCCCCGTTGCGGTTGACGACGTGCGCGAGCCCCTGACTCGGCTGCCCTGCACCCCGCAGCAGGCAGAGCAACTCCTGGCCCTGCCCGGGCCCGAATCGCGCCGTGAAAGATCTCCCGAGGTGGCGCCCTCGAGAGCGTCAGCAGCTCCTGTCACCCACTGGTGCAGCACCACGCCGATGACAGCTGGCGGCGCCCGGACAGCCGCGCCGCAGCCGCACCAGCAGCCTCCGCCAGGGGGGCCCGCCGCCGTCGCCATGGCGCCGCCCTGCACGACGGGCACCGAAAGCCTCTATCGAGCCAGGGGGGCGGTTTGCGCCAGTCCCAGCGCGAGCAACCCGCCCTGGGCCTTCGAGCCGGAACTGGAGCCAAAATGGCTTGAGCCACACTTGCTACGGACGACGACGACGACGACGACGACGACGACGACGACGACGACGACGACGACGACGACGACAATAACGACGACATTAACGACGACACACGTACGCCGCGATGGTCCTGCTTGGATCGGCTGCCCACTTGCGCCCCAGTGGCCTTGCGTGGGTCGGCAGCCCACTCATGCCCCAACAGCTTCAAGGGTAAGCGGCCCAGTCACGCCCTGGTGGCCCCGCGCGGGTGGGCGGCCTACTCACGGTCCAACGGCCCCACGTGGGCCCTCGGTCCAGACACAAAACAATCCACACTTGCACCCCGATGGCCCTACGTGGGTCGGCGGCCCATGCGCTGCCGCCACAGTGGCCCGGCGCGGGTCGGCTGTCCTCGCACGGTCCGCTGGCCAAACGTGGGCCCCACGGGCGACGACGCCGGCAACGACGACGACGACGACGACGTCGACGGCGACGGCGACGACGAACACGGCCACCGCACCGATGACCGGGACGACACACGTACGCACCGATGGCCACACTTCCTGTCGATCCCGTGAGCGGGAGGCCGCCTTTTGATCGCCAGCCAGAGAGAAGGAGGAGGAGGAGGAGGAGGAGGAGGAGGAGGAGGAGGAGGAGGAGGAGGAGGAGGAGGAGGAAGGAGACGGAGGAGGTAGGGAGCGGGGAGGAGGAGGAGGAGGAGGAGGAGGAGGAGGAGGAGGAGGAGGAGGAGGAGGAGGAGGAGGAGGGAGGAAGAGGAGGAGGAGGAGGAGACGGAGGAGGAGCGGGAGGAGGAGAAGGAGGAGGAGGAGGAGGAGGAGAGGGGGAGGAGGAGGGGATTGCGACGAGGAGGAGCGAGAAGGTTGAGGAGGAGAAGGAGGAGCAGGAGGAGGAGTGAGGAGGAGGAGAGGAAAAGGAGGAGGAGAAGGGGGAGGGGGAGGGGGAGGGGAGAGAGGAGGAGGAAGGATGAGGAGGAGGAGGAGGTAGGAGGAGGAGGATAGGGAGGAGGAGGAGGTTGAGGAGGAGAAGAGGAGCAGAGGAGGAGAGGATGAGGAGGAGAAGGAGGAGCAGAAGGGGGAGGGGGAGGGGGAGGGGGAGGAGGAGGAGGAGGAGGAGGAGGAGGAGGGAGGAGGAGGGGAGGAGGAGAGGAGGAAGAGGAGGAGGAGGAGGGAGGAGGAGGAAGGAGGAGGAGGAGAGGAGGAGGAGGAGGAGGAGTGCGCCCGGGCCTCCCGTCCGCGCGAGGCTGCTCCGCCAGCCAGAGGGGAGCGAGGAGGACACGGGCGACGGCCCCTCGGCCAAGCAGAGCCCCCTCGGCGGCGCGGCGCGCCGCCCGTCGCCCCGAAAAAGCCTCCGCCCCCCAGATCGGAGGAGGAGGAAGGCGTGGCAGAAGTGGAGAGAGGAGGGAGATAGGGAGGAGGCCGGAGGAAGAAGAGGAGGACAAGAGGAGGAGGAGCCGGGAGGAGAGGAAGAGGGGCGCGATCCGCCTCCCTCCTCCCTCCTCCTCCTCACCCTCCTCCTCCTCTACCTCCTCATTCTCTTCCTCCTCCTCCTCCTCCTTCTCCTCCTCCTCCTCCTCCTGCTCCTCCTCATCCTCCTCCACCTCCTCCTCCGCTCCCCCCACCCCCTCTCTCCTCCCATGTCCCCCCACCTCCCCCAGCCCCCCCCCCTCCCCTTGGCCGTGACGGTTGCTAGTTGTCCAGGGTTGCTCTGCGAAGCGCCGGGAACAGCAACCACTCATTCTCCCTCTCCTGCGGCTGCCTCCTCCTCCTCCTCCTCCTCCTGGCACAGGCCAGCAGCCTGGCGTGCCAGCCCTTGATCTTGGTGAGCACCAGACCGTCGATGGCCGCGCTGCTGAGGGTCATGCACTTGCTGAGCGTGAGCCACTCCGGGGTGGGGATGAACTTGGTGCGCTCGCACCCCACCTGCCCCTCGGGGGGCGGAGCGAGAGGATGGAGGCGAGGAGGATGAGGATGAGGATGAGGATGAGGATGAGGATGAGGATGAGGATGAGGATGAGGATGAGGATGATGATGATGATGATGATGATGATGGGAGGAGGAGGAGGAGGAGGAGGAGGAGGAGGAGGAGGAGGAGGAGGAGGAGGAGGGAGGGAGGAGGAGGAGGCGGAGGAGGAGGAGGAGGCGGAGAAGGAGGAGGCGGGGGGATGGTTTTGGAGGTGTCACGGAGCCTCTT